AGATTCACCTTAATTCATAATTTTGAACTATTTTTAAAATCTTCTTATCAGTATATTTTTTATTTTTTAGGGGGACTGTTTCCTGCCTCTAATCGACTATAATAAAAGTCTCTACCTGSTTGWACTTTTTGAAGACACGTTATTAAAGACCACAAACTTGAATGGTGAACKCCCATTTCCATATTTAATCTTCTGTTGGCAGCTTTGAAGTGATTTTTTGTTCTGTTTTACCCATCCAAAACTCTATTACCTATACATACTCCAAGTATTAGGTGGAAATAAAGGTAACCAACGAGGCGACGACCTCTTCCATTTCTATTAATTCGCCCAACGTAATTGTCTTCAAACCAATTTAATAAGGGTTGTGATTCGTCTGGTAAGTATTCCGACAATAACTCAATTGCTACATCAATATCATTAAGTGGGATGAATGTCAATGCTACAACCATTTTCACTAAGATTGAATAATCAGCATTATTTKAATAATTTGATACAATCCTTAAATCACATATTTTTTTATAAACATTTTTAGAAAAATGATAAAGATAACCATAAATTTCAGCATTTGGATACTCAATTTTTATAGATTTTAATATTGCTTGTTCAAAATCACAAGATATTGAAGTCGGGTTTAATCCAAGTTTTAATTGGTTTAACATTTTAAATAAATGAGTCATGAGTGTATGTTTTTTCTTGTTTGTTAGGCAATAGAGCGTATATAAGTGGGTGTACATCTCCCAAAGCTTCAGCAAGTATCACAAAAACTTGAGAAAAAATAGCTGGAACGGTTTTAAACGRTATCTAAACTACGGTTTCTTCCTAAAATTGAAATACGATTCACGCCTGGTCCACTATCGTCCAATAAAAATGTTTCAGTCATACCTGCTGATGGTGAGTAAACTTTAAAGGAGTCAAGTATTTCTAATGTTAATAGGTCTTTTGGTGCATTCGGTGATGTTCGAATTTTAATTCGTTTTCGTCTAACTACTTTTTTCAATACTAGGCTGGATGATATTGCACCCTAAAATAAAATAAAATACAAAAAAATTAATAATAAAATGTGTATAATATAATACACCTAGAACTTTTGTTCCTAATAAAATAGAGCACTGAATAATTTTTAAAAATTACTAAAATTCAGCCAATATAACGAAAAAATATTAAATATTAATTAATTATTAATTATATATTAATTAAATATTGATTACCTTAGCTGCTTCTGATAATCCAGTAATACTTTCGTTTATTACATTACAGTCGATGTTGACTCCATGATTTCAACCGCTCTATTTTTTAGACGATTGATGGCAACTGTCGCTTCGACTTTTGCAGCTTCCGAATCATGAGTGTGTTCATTAATGCGTTTTAGTACATACGTCTAAACTGTCGATTCCAGTATAAACTCGTGTTTTACACTCACGTTTAYATTTACACAGCCAAATCTTATTAGTGAATCAGCACTTACTTTGTCAAATAAATGTATAAAACCATCATCAGTAAAAATATTTTGATTTCGATTCGACTTCATTAATGCCATAGCTAATTAAAATATTATATAATAAATTTAGTTAAAGTAAATATAACCACTGCTTTCGGTAAAGTGTAGAATAAAATTGTTGTAGGGTTTCTGGTGTATTTGATCGATTTTGATAACGTATATGTAAAAGTAACATATTGATAATTGAATTCATATACAATATACTGGTCTAAACAACTTCGAAACATCGAAACGATAACGCCGATTTCGATAATGTCAGATAATCCCCAATATCATGATCAAACTATAATGTTAATTATAATTTTATCCTCGCGCCCAAACGGCTGCGTCTAATGACTTCCCGTCCGAACGGCCGCGTTTAAACAGCCGCGTCCATTTGTCCCTGTTCGTCAGTATTGGTATTCATAATTTATGAATAGGGCTAGGATTTTGTAACATTTGAATTTTCTTTCAATTCGATTCATTCATCACAGAGTTCAATTATGCAATTTTGTTTTTGCTTTTTTTGCTTTTTTTGCTTTTTCTTATTATGATATTCGTAAATAAATGCTTTTTTAGTACTTTTTTGTCAGTTATTTATT